GTTGTATTATAACAGTATTTACAAAAACATGTTTGCATTGAGAAATGGACCCTACAGGGTTTTTGCCAGGGGTGAGACAGAACCATAACTAAAGTCTTATCTAGATCTTGGAACTATTTATCTGTCATTTTTGACATTTTGGGGCCAGCTTGAGGTTTTAAATCTTCAATCCAATATTAAAATGTAAAGGCTTATTCAATTTTTTACCATTTTACTGAAAATACTTAAAATCTCTTTTTATAGTTTTTTTGGTAAACTGTGCCATGAAATTTGAAATCCATGAAAAGTCATGGGATCTTTTGTATTCAATTACTTTTTCTGTTGTAATGTTACATTGTATAGACTATCAGTGCATGCTCACTCAATATAACCCTGGTTTTGTGATATAACTGTTTAGATTTTATTGGTGACATTAGATTAGTGGTTGCATTAAATAACTAAATTCTCATTGTGATTATTAATTGAAATTCTGTCTTTAAGCAAAAAGTTATTTGTGAATATAAGCTTTGTGCTTAGAAAATGTATGTGTTTATATTTGCCAGTTTGGGGGTGGATGTAAATTCTGCATCATTAGTGAATTCATTCAGATCTGTAGTCTTTTGCAAAATATAGCTATAGATATTTGATAGATATTATAGGTATTTGATAGAGTAGTGAGTGCAGTGTTGTATGTGTGTGTGTGTGTGTGTTTGTGTTTTGGGGGTAGGTACTGTTTATCATTACTACCAGCTGAGATTTTATAAAGTATTATCTAAATAAATTCTGTAACCACCATCTGTGTTTAGGAACAAAAGGCTCATCAAATGTGGTGAGGCCTTTGGATACATTATCGTTTAAAAATTTACTAAGGTAAAATACATATAACCAAATTTACCATTTTAATTTTTTAAATATACAGTTTAGTGGCATTAAGTACATTCACAGTATCATGTAATCATCACCACTATTTCCTGAACTTTTTTTTATCATCCCAAACAAACGCTGTACCCATTCAACATTAACTCCCATTTCCTCCCCCCACTCTAGCCCCTGGTAACCTCTGTTCCACTTTCTCTCTTTGAATTTGACTATTTTAGTCACCTTATGTAAATGGAATCATAAAATATTTGTTCTTTGTGTCTGTTTTATTTCATATATTATGTTTTGAAGTGTCATCCATGTTGTAACATGTATCAGAATTTCATTCCTTTTTTTGGCTGAATAATATTCCATTTTATGTATATAAACATTTTGTTCATCTTTTGATGGACACCTAGGTTGGACATTTTTTGCTGTTGTGAATAATGCTGCTATGAATATTTTGTGTGCGTATCCATTCAGGTCCCCTGCTTTCACTTCTTTTGGGTGTATACCTAGAAGTGGAATTGCTGGCTATCCAAGACTCTTCCTGCCTGTAATTGCACCTGCAAAGAGCACACTGGGTCAACAGCCAGAACCACTAGCAATGGGCTCTGCCCACGATCATTCTTCGTCCCTCCAAGCACACTCCTGGACAAATGTGGGAGCAAAGTTTTAAATTTTGGTGAAATTCAGTTTGCCTTTGTTATTGTTGCCTGTGCTTTTGGTGTCATATCCAAGAAGACATCGCCAAATCCAATGTCATGAAGATTTTCCTATGTTTTCTTCCAAGAGTTTTATAGTTTTAGCTCTTACATTTAGATTTTTTAGCCATTTTGAGTTTTGTATATGGTGAAAGGTAAGGATTCAGTTTTGTTTGCATTTGTTGAAAAGACTGCCCTTTCTCCATTGAATTGCTTTGGCAGTCTACTCAAAAGTTAATTGACTGTATGTGAGGGTTTACTTCTGGGCTCTGTATTCCATTGGACTATATGACTCCTTTTGCTAGTACTGTTGTTGGAGAAATAAGTGGGCCAGATTTTCCTGTTGCTTGTGGGTATGGGTTGGCTCTTGTGACATTTTGAAAAGATGAATTTTCTAAGATTCTTATTGGTGTGGACTTAAATTTCTCCGGTGGCAAAGTCGTATGCCTCTTTAACCCAGGCCTGAAAAAGGTATAGGTAGGGGTCAAGCAGAACACAAAGGAAGGCCAGTGTCCAGAACTTCTGTTCCACGGTGGAGCTGGTTCCATACAGCATTAGGCTAATCCTTAAGTCCATTGTGTGAAAAACACATGGCCATGGGCCACGTGGGCGAATGCAGGGGAGTGCATACCATGCAACAAGAGTCTCAAGAGAGTGAACTTCCTTTGTCTAGGAGTTTAAATATTCAGGTTGTGTGCCCCATTCTGGCCTCTGACTTGTTCCCAGGTGTGACTGGCAGGTAAGCATCTTTCAAATCACTCAGACCTTATTGGGCATGCATCTAAACTGCCTTTGTCCAGTCCCTTCCTCCATGCTCAGCAGGGAATAGACTTGGAGAGTGTTAAATTACAGCTTTCTAGCTAAGCTGTATAAATGGCATGTCTGTATTATGTAGTCTTCTCTTTCTTTCTTTCCGGTTAATAATAACCAGGCTATTACAATGGTGTCAGTACCATACTGTTTTCATTACTATAGCTTTTTAATAGTTTTACATATTTTAATCCTCTGAACCCTATGAGGAAGATAGTATTTCCCTTGTACATTTGAGAAAACTGAAGCTTAGGATTCTGACTTGGATAACTAAATACAAAGTAATTAAAATGCCAGATGAGAAAAGGATTTTTTTTTAATCCTCACCAGAGGCCATTTTTCCATTGATTTTTAGCGAGTGGAAGGGAAGGGGAAAGACAAGAGGAAACATCGGTGTGAGAGAGACATGGATTGGTTGCCTCCCACATGCACTCCTGGGATCGAGCCTGCAACCGAGATACATACCCTTGACTGGAATCGAACCTGGGGACCCTTTAGTCCACAGGCTGATGCTCTAACCATTGAGAAAAACCAGCTAGGGTCCTCATGCAGGAGGCAACCAATCAATGTGTTTCTCTCACATCAGTATTTCTGTCTTGCCCTGCCTCTTGCACTCTCTAAAAATCAATGGAAAAATACCCTTGGGTGAGTATTAAAAAAAAACATGCACCCGAAACCGGTTTGGCTCAGTGGATAGAGCGTCGGCCTGCGGACTGAAAGGTCCCAGGTTCGATTCCGGTCAAGGGCATGTACCTGGGTTGCGGGCGCATCCCCAGTAGGAGATGTGCAGGAGGCGGCTAATCGATGTTTCTGTCTCATCGATGTTTCTAACTCTGTCTCTCCCTTCCTCTCTGTAAAAAATCAATAAAATATATTAAAAAAAAAAAACATGCAAAGAAAACCCGGGTAGGGTGAAAAGGAGTCTTTTTAAAAATCCCCATCACATTTCTATTTAGAAATACTTGGCTTTTTAAAATACTAGAAACAGTATAAGAAAAGAATATTAGTGTGCAATTGTTGTAACTATAAAAATGGCTTCATTGAAGTGCTTCTGAATTAATGTAATTAAGGAAATTAACTATGAAAACCTGCTCTTCCATAAAAGTGTGAGAACTATAAAAGTTGTCAAAATCAGAGAGACATGGATTGGTTGCCTCCCACATGCACTCCTGGGATCGAGCCTGCAACCGAGATACATACCCTTGACTGGAATCGAACCTGGGGACCCTTTAGTCCACAGGCTGATGCTCTAACCATTGAGAAAAACCAGCTAGGGTCCTCATGCAGGAGGCAACCAATCAATGTGTTTCTCTCACATCAGTATTTCTGTCTTGCCCTGCCTCTTGCACTCTCTAAAAATCAATGGAAAAATACCCTTGGGTGAGTATTAAAAAAAACATGCAAAGAAAACCCCGGGTAGGGTGAAAAGGAGTCTTTTTTAAAATCCCCATCACATTTCTATTTAGAAATACGTGGCTTTTTAAAATACTAGAAACAGTATAAGAAAAGAATATTAGTGTGCAATTGTTGTAACTATAAAAATGGCTTCCTTGAAGTGCTTCTGAATTAATGTAATTAAGGAAATTAACTATGAAAACCTGCTCTTCCATAAAAGTGTGAGAACTATAAAAGTTGTCAAAATCAACTTAATTTATTCAGTAAAAACTAACAAGTTTTGTAGCATTTTAAATTGCCCTATACCCATTTTCTCAGTTCCAGGGTAGACCTGAAAATGAATAGCCTTGTAACTATAGTAGCTGTGAAACCCAGCAGTTTTGTCGCCTGAGAAGTGGGTTGAAGCTCCCGTTTAAAGCCAGTTAGATTGGACCTGTTTGGTGCCTCACTGAAAAGCTCTATTCTCAGAGCTACTCTTTATTTGACCTGACACCCCTCACTCTGCAAACAGCCTTATCTTCAGAAACAGCTGCAATTGTTTAATGTGGCAGCTGCCTTGAGGCAGTGCTAAAAAGAGGCTGAACAGAAACAGAAATGAAAAGCTGAGGGAGGACATACCTGTAAAGGTTTGGAAAGGCTCCAAGATACTCTTGGGACTCTAGAGGGCTACAGGCATGGGCAAGGTTGCATGCACACCCAAGGACAAAAGGAGGCACCCATCGAAGCTGTAGCAGAACTTGAGGCTCTTTAAGCAGGAAGTGAAGGTGAAGGCACAGTGTAAGCTTCATGTTGGAGTGTTGAAGGCCTATTTGAAAACATTCTCCAAGCACTTCATCAAGGCTGGGAGAGTAACTGTTTCAGGGCACCTAATGAATTTTCTGTCAAACCTTTAGCTGACCTTTAAGCTAACAAAGCAGAATGTAGTGCTCATATACAGCAAAGAATGCTCACTTTGCAGAATTAGTCCAGGTAGATTACTAAACAGCAAACTCGACAAATCCCAGGGATGTGAAGGGATTCTTTTATCCAACATTGCCCAGTCATATTTCAAATGTCTAGTTTCCAACAAAAATTTGCATGTCATGTAAAGAAACAGGAAAGTGTGAGAAAGCCTAGATGTTGGACTTAATGAAACAAAATGTTTAAGTCAGCTTTTAAAAATATGTCCAAAGAACTAAAGCCATTTTAAAATAACTAATTTGAGAACAGTCTTTCACCAAGTAGAGAATAACAATAGACAGACATTATACTAAGAGAACTGAATAAAAATACTGGGTTGGAAATATACAATAAGTGAAATAAATCCAACAGAGGAGCTAATAGATTTGAACTTTGAACACAGGAAGAAAGGAACAAGGAAGAGACCTGTGGGACACCATCAAGTCTACTAAAATGTATAATGGGAGTCCCAGAAGGAGAGGAAGTAAAGGGGCACTTTATGTATTTGAAGAAATGCTTCAAATTTCAAAATTTGGTAAAAATCTACATGTAAGTTCAACAAATGCTAAATAACAGAGAAACTCTTGGAAATAGCAAGAGAAACAGCAAGAGAAAAGTGACCCATTGCATACAAGGATCTTTGATAAGATTAACAACTGGATTCTCATGAGAAGTCATGGACGCCAGGAGGTAATGAAAGTGTTGAAAGGAAAAGGCAGTGAACCAAGAATTCTATATGAAGCAAATTCTCAAAAGTTAAAGATATTAAGGTATTTCGTCTGGAGTGTGGCATTCTGAGAACTGAAGAATTTTGTAAAGATATGGATGAATCTGTATCCTAAATCCTTTACTCCATTGAACCTCATGGATATTAAAATGGATATTTCCTGTTTTGGTGGATGACCCCTTCAAGGAGTTAGTTACCTTGCAAAAAGCATCCCATCTGTTTTATCCCTACAATCCTTCATCTTCAGATACCAGCATGTTCTGGGGACAAGTACAAAGTGCCTCCTGAAAGAATGATTTTTTTTTAATCCTGTATATGAAGTTATGAAACTATTTATTGAACTCAGAATAGAAAGCTAATACAAAAAAAGTTAAAACAACTGCACCTGTGGCCATCACCGCCCCCTGGATCGCTGCAGCGCCCACCAGGGGGCGGTAGCGCCCACTTTGGGAATCACTGCTGTATACTGATGATTTATGGAGAATACCTGTGGAAATAGATTCCGCATATGTTAGATCTTGAAGTAAGAAACAATCTTAAAATTGGGTCAAATTATCAGTATGTATACACTTACACGAGAGAGTACATCAGCTTGAATAGCTGGGAGTGGTTCTGTTTACTTGGTTGAAATTTTGACTCAGCAGTGCTTCATCTAAATGGGCGATGAGGTGCCAAAAATTCCGATACATCATAGAGAAAGGAAATCAAAGACTTAGAAGGGGAAATGTTGGAGAGGATTTATGTGATTGGAGCGACTATCATCATTGAGAAATGCTCTGGTGAGAAGAGAAGTAGCACTCTGAAAAGCTGTAATATAGTCTGACAGGACTTTTTGGCCTTGGCTAATAGATCATATGATCCAAAGGACCGAAGTGGTCCCATTTGATTTATCTAACTGAAAACTGCAGGTCACTACAGCTACTATAGAGATTAAGATCCCTTATCCATTTCCCAGGCCTGATTTAATTCACATTTCCAGAGCCTTTTGAGAAAGGACCCTGCTATAAGTTTGTATTATGTATATTCTTAGCCTTCTCCAAAGTAACCTGTGGCCATTTACCAGAGCAGTTATTTTTACACCAAGGAAAGAACTCCCTAGACTTTTTGAAATTATTGAACACCTGGTCTTAGTATCATTTCTGCAAAATACTCTCTGGTGATTAATGAAGTTTTAACCAAAATCCACCACAGTGGCACCCAAACCCTTCAGTTTACTTCTCCCATTTCCTGAGTCTATGGTTAGAGTATTAAGATAAGCAACTAGCAGAGCCAACACACTGTAAGAACCAGTTCCTTGTGTTTACCAAATTTTAAAGGAGTGATACAGATGACTTTATGTTCCAAATTGTTACGCAAACAAGGTGCTAATGTAGAATTAGATGGAATTTAAAAGGATTTCCTCTTTAGGTTGATGTAGTTCCAAACTACTTCCTACCAAGTAGTGAAGTTAATATAGAAAAACATGTATTTTAAATAAGTTACTTGCATATTTTATATCAAATTAAGCTCTCGTAAAATTCAACTTCATTAAAATGTTACGCTAAGCATTTAGCAAAATTTTAAACTGATATTCAACAACATACACTAAGTCAGATGGGCCAAGTACTGATTTGCCTTTGGATTTATAGTAATTTTTATTTTTAGTTATTTTTATCTTTATATAAACAAATACCATTTCTTTTTGTGCTCATTTGTGAGTTTAATTGTAATTGGCAAGAATTATAGTTTTATTATGGTCATAATAGAAACAAATGCACTTCACGTAGTCCTTTATTTTACCAAAATGTATGCTTCCATTAATTGAAGGGGAAAAAATCCTCCAGGACTATGCTGTAATAAAGATTTTCCCTGGATTTTTGTGTATGTCACTGGAGTGCAGTGTATTAAAAACCTTCAGTTATTTCTCCCCCTTCATCCCCACGCTTCATGCTTATAAAAAAGTTACTTCCTTTAACAAATACTTCAGAGTAAATATGGATTAGATCCTTGAGACAAAAATCCAAACTTTATACTAAATCCTTTCATCGAAACTCATTCAAATGAAGAACAGTATTTATTAATGGAAACAAGATTTTTGTTTCAACTAATTTTCATAATTATGTTAGCCTGGTCTACTTTATACAAAAAATGAGCATATACACACAAACCAACCAACCAACCCCCCCCGCAAATTTAAACCAAAAAAAATCTACCCCCAAAACAAAAAATCCTCACTTTATAAGTGGGCAAGTTTTACATCTGAGGTAGCACAACCAAGCAAATGAATATTTACATGCATTAACTGAGGCACTTGAGATCACCCAATTTGTAACAAAATCTCGAGAATTTCAGTGCTTGTGAACAACTATAATTGGAACAGTCAATTTACTTTGGCAAACTATTACTCTCAAGTGTAGTCATCTAGACCTGAAACTTAGAAAAAAATGGATTTCTATCTCAGGCAAGTATTTAATTTCTCAAAAACTAAAAATTAAAAGATTAATGTGGGAGAGATGTGACTTCTTAAAATCAGGAATGTATTTTGACTTCGTAATTGTGAAATATATTAGTGACCTGAAAGGATACTGTTCTTCCTATTCAGTATCAATTTAAGCAGAGATGTGACTTACGTGACATACATAAAATTCCAAATACTTTGCATGTGAGAATTTTCTGAGTTATTAAATAGTAGGTGATCTCAGTCAATTCTAAGTTTTCTTTAAGAAAAACTTGGAAAGCCTAACTCCCAAACCAGTTAAGTTAGAAACTGCTACTTTTAAAATGAAAACAGCACTTTTTTATTTTTACACCACTGAATTGAAAGAATAAAAAAAGAACTACAGTTGGTATGGAGAAGTATTAGACAGATGATCTATAAAGCTGTATGGGAACAAACACTTCTCTACTTTTACCATCTTCTGCAATTGCTTGCTTCTGCTTTGTCATTCACTGACATTTCAACCCTGTCAGCTACTGTATCTTCTGATGTAGATTGGACATGGCCCTCTGACTGTCCTCCAGTGTAGGTGGGGGTGCTGTACTTTAAAAGGATAGATTTAAACTGCATCAGAGGTGCATCTGTACGAACACCCATTGGGTCAAAATGAGTTCGGCTTACTCTAAAGCCTGCTTGAGAAAGATAGCACAGAAACTTTTTTAACCTGCAGCAAGAAAAAGGAAAAAAAAATGAGGTTATAATTTTATTTAAACCATGGTGTCATTAAATTATAAAATATACACGTTGCCATTGACTGGCTATCTTACTTTGGCATATTCATCCCTTTAATGCTGTGTCTGTGGATGTTGTAATAAAAGGGAGGATGTTCAGTACTGGCATCAGCCTTTTGTTTCTTGGCTAAATTTGTGATTGTTTCAGTACATTTTCTTTTTCCTGAAACACACAAATACACACACACAAAGTTAGCATTCTCTTAAAAATTACAAACCTAATACTTTTATAACTCTATGCTATCTCAAGTCTAAATCCTCTGACACACACCATTTCAACCTATCCAGTCTTAATTCTTAAGAGAACTCATTGCAAGAATAAGGTATTTTCATTTCCACTATCCTTAACTGATGTAATTTTAGTATTTAACTATTTGCTGAGTCAGAACTTACTTTCTACCTTCTTGAATGTCAAGCCTCAATTCTATTTGCATCTGAAGAAAGCTATTTGAATTCTGGGCCAATCACCTCACAGACTTAATTACTATCAATACTTCTCAGTTTGATTAAGTTCTATCTTCTTTGATTGTTTCATGTGTCCCCCCCCCCCCCCCCCCGCCGCCAGATTATATTACATTATCCTGGGAATAATGCCCTTCCGTTTTCATACTTGTACTCTCTACTGAATGCCAATATTTGATAAATAGGTCTTCAATGAATAACCTGTCCAAGGTTATACAACAAACAACACAAAGAAGCAGAATGATGCTCTTAAATCTAATGCTCATTACTGTATACCACACTGCCTTTTTCTTACCCCCGAGAGAGAAATTAAGTGTGCACACATCCCAAATTATAAGAAAGGCCATACAATACATTCTTATGGCTAGAGAATAGACCTTCTGGGTAATCAATGGAATTGTTACGCATCATATGGTGGTGAAAAAGTTTAAAAGAATAAGAATAATAAAATGTAATCATTTCTATCAAACAGAATTTGATCTTATTTTGGTTCACATCATTCTTTCAAGATATTACAGTTCTCTCAAAGGGATGCATTATATATTAGAACTATGAGTGCAGTACATGTTCACAGAAATTTTGAACTGTGTAAATGCCAGATAAACAAGTTTTACTGTAATTAGGTTGTAGGTGTAATAAAAAAAAATGCACTGTGAAATAGGCTACCAAAGAAATCTGTTCCTACTCTTTTGCTGTCTGATTTTTGCAATGATACATACACACATATACATACATACCTTGTGCAATGTAATTATCTGTTGTGGTATCATCTGTAGTTTTAATAGATATGCCACATTCTTCTAAAATAAAAACAAATGGGAATCAAAATATTTTACGGGATGTTATCAAGGGACAATTCAAAGTTTAAAGAAAGCTTATTTCTAAATTATATCCACACTGCTTTTCTGAATATATAGATTCTATGGCAAAACAGGGCAAGAATTACATTTTTAATCCTCTACAACAACTGCTGCTTCTAATGAGTTATGAGAAATGCTAGGATGTCTAATAGGCCCACTCTCAGGTCAATGGCCAGATAAAAACGACAAAAAACTATTTATACTAAAGAGAAAATAGAAAAAAACAGTAGTTTTAATGAGTGATAAGTGTATATCTTAGTTTCTGTGTCTCAATGGCTACACCTCTCAGAATTCCCTAGGGTTTCTCTTTTTAGAAAGCAGATAAGTGTAATAAAATCACCATAGACAGTACTTTTAATGTACTAAAGTTTAAAAAAATACATACTTTTATCTTAATAAAATCACTATTCCAGGTTCTGAATATAAACCTGAAGAAAACTATGCAATTAAAAATAAAAGTTACGCAGGTTATGATCAGACTCGGGATTTAAAAGCACACTACTTTTACTGCTTTTGATTATAACACCAAATAAAGTTTAAAAAGATAGAGTATTTTGGTAATTTGTAAGCTAGTAAACTAGTGTTAAATTCATTACCTTGCTTGGTGAGATTTGAAGGTGAATGAACTGAAAACTGACTTTGAGGAGTACACTCTGACTCAAAGATTAATGTCTTTATTAGGGGCTGAATGTCATCTAAACCATGGTGAAGAGATTCGAATAGCATTCTTTTGAGAAATCCAGTATTGAAGAGGGAGCTTGACCTAAAAGAAACAAAAAATCCCGAGAAAACAGAGAATTGGGTTTGAGAGAAGTGTTTATTATCTTAAATAATAAGATTTAATTATATGATTGATTAAATACTTAAAAAGAATTTATGATTTAACTTAAAATTGTTTATTTTCTGTTTCTCCATTCCTTTTTATCATGTTAGTTCTCCAAACTAGTGTTAGTCAAGGAAATTTCATTCACAGTTAAATCAATCCTCATGCCGAATCCGGTTTGGCTCAGTGGATAGAGCGTCGGCCTGCGGACTGAAAGGTCAAGGGCATGTACCTGGGTTGCGGGCACATCCCCAGTAGGAGATGTGCAGGAGGCAGCTGATCGATGTATCTCTCTCATCGATGTTTCTAACTCCCTATCTCTCTCCTTTCCTCTCTGTAAAAAATCAATAAAATATATTTAAAAAAAAAATAAGTCAATCCTCATAATGTGTATAACCCTGTGTTACATATAGGTGTGGAATATACACCAAAGTATAAAATACAATGTTAAGCCTATAAATCTAGACAGGGATGTAATATAATGCAGAAGTTTTAATGCATATTCCTGTAACAGTAAATACATGCATAAAATCTCTAGAACAAAGTATATCCTTAATGAATGGTAGCTATTATTACCAGGGTTAGCGAATACATGTGGAAAGCTATATGATTTTAAGTGTTAAATGAGCGATCAATGTAAGATTTACTAAAAAGGAATTTAGAAGTAATTTGGGTTGAAGCATTAAGGAGAGACTTCAAAGAAGTGGGGAAAGAGGAAGAGATTCTGGATGAGAGTAAAGATAGGACTATGGCTTTGAGTGAGGAAACCATAAGGCATGGGAACTCAATCCTGGGAGTGAGACAACCCAAGTTCTTGCCCTGCCTGAGCTGCCAAATTTTGGAGGTCAGTTTTGTTGTAATTTTCTCATCTGTAAAATGACTTGGGCTAGATCTTCCTTCTGGATCCAGCAGCTGTTAATAATTCATTTCCCCAGTTCTGAGGTCAGTGAGTAGGATCAACATGTAGCAGATGACATAGGAAAGAGTACCAGAACGTAAGACTAGCTAGATCATTCTTAATCTAAGGGTATTAACATAGGATAAAGAAGGGGTGGTGAACACACAATACAACATACAGATGATGTATTATATAACTGGAGGCCCAGTGCAGGGATTTGTGCACCAGTGGGTCCCTAGGCCTGGCCTGCGGGATTGGGCTGAAATCAGTTCTTCCACACCCCCCCGAGGGGTCCCAGATTGCAAGAGGATGCAGGCCAGGCTGAGGGACCCCACCGGTGCACGATTGGGCCGGGAGGGACACGGGAGGTTGGCCAGCCAGGCAAGGACTGTGGGAGGGCTCCAAAGCGTGTCTGGCCCATCTCGCTCAGTCCCAATCAGCCAGATCTCAGCAGCAAGCTAACCTCCCAGTCAGAGCGTCTACCCCTGGTGGTCAGTGCACGTCATAGCAACTGGTCGACCGGTCAACTGCCTGTGCCCTGGTGGTCAATGCATTTTATAGCAAGCGGTTGAGCAGCCTTAGGTTATCATAAGCTTATTACGCCTTGGTTGGTTGAACTGCCAACCGGCCGACTGGACACTTAGCATATTAGGCTTTTATTATGTAGGATTGTACACCTGAAACCTATATAATTTATTAACCAATGTCTCTCCAATAAATAAAAAAGTTTAACAAAAAAGTTAATTAGACATGAAAAAAGATTTAAAAATGGGCATCAGCACAAACATTTACCATTTGTGTTAATGTTTAAGTTTAGTAGGTGGCTAAACCTTGACCTTGTAAATTAATGAAGTAGATATCTGCAATGATTCTTGTCACAATGTTGTTAGGAATTTCTGTGTACAAAAGCATACATACATTAAAAATTTGCAATTGTGTCCCATCTAAACAACTTTACCCAAAACAAAAGGCATTTACTTGCATTTGCCCTTTTTAAATTCTTCAAAGACTTTTTATATTAGTTGGCTCTTCTTTAAAAAGTTACTGTGTAGTGCGGCGTTGGTGGTATAGTGGTGAGCATAGCTGCCTTCCAAAAAGTTACTGTGATCACTTTTTAACCACACCCTAAAGTTCTATAATTATCAAATAAAATAAAAAAGCCTAATTCTTACTATTCAGAAATGAATTATAGTTCACAGAACAGCCAGGCTTCTCTTTAATTCCACTGCCTCTGAGCACTGTCACAAACTTGGGGGAATAATGTTACAGAAAAATCTGAAAACAAAACACCTCAGGTTCACAGGGGGAGAAGTCACAATTATTTGCTTAGACTTTAAAAGATTCAATCAAAATTTGTCTTTTACCTCACATCATCAAAAGTCAACAAACAAAATCAATATATAAATCAATTCTGAATATATTATCATGCTTGGGCACACATACCATAGAGGTCCAAGTTCTATTGCTGTCTTTCCAGGCATGCTTCCATGACAGTTACAGGGCAGCTGTCTATACGGGTTTTCTGTGAAAAGATTAAAAGAAATCAAAGCAGAAATGACAGATACATAGTAGTAATTGTTATAATAATTTGCAGCTACTATATACTGAGAATCTAATATGTGCCAGATATCGTGCTAAGTAATTTTATAAAATCTCAATTATACAGATCAGAGGATTAAAGCTTAAAACAGATGATAGAAATCCATGTCAAACAGATTAGAGATCTTTTAGTTAGTACATGAAATTAAATAGGAGAAGGTCTTTTAAAGTCCACAAGATACCTGTATTTTAAAATCAGTGATTGGGGTAAAATTTACATGCAGTAAAATGTATACATTTTGTGTGGAAAGATTAATGAACTTTGACAAATATATACATATCCATATAACTGCTATTCCATCAAAATAAAGACATTTCTCATATTAACTCTTCTGCAATTGGGAAGAAAATAATTACCCTGTTCCCTAGACCTGATTCATAATCAGCTCCCAAATGTAAGCTAGAAGAATCTAATTCAGTGTAAAGAGCAATAAGGCCCGATAGAATCACAAGGAAATTGGGAAGGTAGTTTCCAAGATGGGGCAATATTCTAGTATGAACTTTTCCAGTTCACTTAAGGTCCAGAATAGTCACTTTAAATCAAACTCTGCAACAAATTTCGCCCAGGCTGTTCCTAGGTGGATCATGCACTTGCTTGAAATGGCTGGATCTGATCAATCAGTCTTAGCGATATCCAGAATCCAAGGCTATGGTGGTAGGGATATTGGTCTTTAGCTTCTCGCTATCTGTTATCAATGTTATTCAGTGCAATTAAATGGCATGATACACAGTGTGAGATCTTATTTTAGATTTACTTAAAGGCTCTGTCACTATTTTTCCTAGAGCAACTGTTTCTATATCCTGGAAAAGCAAAAATAGAAACACCTTTATAAGGGCAAAAGCCAAATTATTTTCCTTGGTTCACAGGCCTGGCATATAGTAGAGTCTCAGTAAATATTTATTGAATGAATTTTGTAACTGATGGCTTTTATATTCAGCCAGAAACAGAGAGGTTATCCTAACTTATGTTCCTAAAATTAGTGACAGTGGAAACTAAGTTATTTCTAGATGTTTCAATAGAGGGCAGAGCTGGAGAGCGTAAATTGTATAGCGCCAGTAAATAAACTCACACAAATGCCTTTTCTGTTGATGAAAGGAAGTCCAGGATAGGAAATAAAGTTAGCACTGTCATCTTTAAAACCAAAGGACAGTATGTATAATTAGGGATGTGATAAAGGCTTACTTATTGGAGGCTTATACATAAATTAGACACAATTTATTGTGTCAATTAGGGGGAAAAGGAAAAATAGGTAATACTTTCAATAATAAAGATTTTTAAAAAAATAAATTAGACACAGTATACAGTCAAAAGAAACTTAATTACCTTCTACCATATTACCATCCTTCTGAAAAATTCTCTCTTCACACCACTGACAATGTATCAGATACTGTATCTTCTTGGCTGTTTCATCTGCAGAAGTAGGCCCCCTCAAAACTCTCACAACGACCAAGACAAAATGTTCCAGAGCCACTGCAAATAGTACTTCTATGCCTTTGTTACATCGAGCTGCAGCTCTGGAAAAAAAATTTAAGTTATTTTGGGTGCTTATCATTTTTCTTTGACACTGTATTTACAATACTAACCTGGACAGTAAACTATGGGTAGGTGAAGGGAAAATAAGAAAAATTCAAGTCTTAGCAGCATACTTTTAAAAGATAATTGCTATAACTCTTACACAAAATGAAACACAGGAAATAAAGGATGCTTGCTGGAGTCTTCAGTAACTAGACATTTTCCTTTATGACAGCCTCTCAATAGGACTACAGGCTCTGGTTTTCAATGTCACTTTCTTTGTTGTCATCACCACCACCTTTCTGCCATTTTACCTGTTTTCTCTATAAAACCTTCTTTCAAACAATGTTTATTGAATACTAACTATATGCAGGGTAGTAAGCCAGCTGCTAAATATTCAGGGAAAAGTGAATAGGCAGTCCTTGCTACTATTAATTTTACACACTTCTGGATTAAATTCTACTTGATGCAGTATTTATGTACTTAGTTTTCTCTCTGCAGTTACACACTAAACTTGGTTCATATATATTAATTTGAATTTGTTAGTGTAAACATTTTTAAGTAGGTCATGAGCATGTATAAACTGAACATCAGAGTTTTCAATTAATTAGGAATAACACTTAACATCTATGAAGTCTAATAATCTATTTATGCTGAGGTAGGAATTTCAATCTAAATGCTGTGAAATTAGTTTTGAGGCCAGTAAGTGAGTTGGCTGATTATCCATTATATATACTTGCAATGTCCATTTATATAGCATAAGAGATTCTGAACAAGAGAGGTGCTCAAAAAAATATTCCTTCAAATGTTTAGAAATCTAGATGAGAAAAGAGCTTTTTTTGTACGCAAGATTATTCTGCAGAACCAGGTTATAAGCCATCATTTTGCAAATTATTTAAATAAAGATTAGATGAACATAAAACAATGACTGTTTCTCAATCTAAAAACAATCTTTGCCTTCCCTTTTCATTATGCTATCCTCTCATCTACCCTACATTGTTGAAATAACTGACTTAAAATTAACTTTCATTTTTATCTTTCTTATTACATTAATTGCTTTCATAATATTTTTAATTGGAGAGTAAACTGACTATTTTAAGCACAAGCTTTCAAATCAAATTTCAAAAAATACAACATAAGATCACAAAACCAAGGAAGATTATAGATATGAAATACAGAATTTGCATTTTTTGTGTGTGTATATTTATAAAATGAGAGAAGCACTTCTTGAATCTGTTTTTAACATATGCCCAAACATTACGTGTTACACTGTTGGCAATTCTGTACCTTGCTACTGCCGCTACAACAATTCTGGCTGCGAGTTCCTTGTAATATTCAGTTCGGACAATGTTACAGCCATAGTGTCGCCGGGCAACATGTTGTGCCTTGGCATATAAAGAACTGATATCTGTAGAAGTCACTGATACTATGCCAAGGTTTCTTATATTTCTGAATGCAGAATCTAGATAGTTCACAGATGTTCCAAAAGGGTCTAGGTGTCTAAAATCAGAAAGAATATAGATATATTTAAAATCATACTGGTAATTAAATTATATGATTGTCATTATTTCTAACAATAAAATTCCATGTGTTCATAAATACTTTACAAATCTATTTTAAATACATAATTCTGTTTTAAAAATAATAACATTGACCTTATGCTATGTTAGGTAAATAAAAATAAGTCAGGATTAAAGGAAAATTGTCATGCCCAGGCATTTTATTTCAGGTGCTGGAAAATGTTCTTATTGCATTCCTTAGGCCAATGCTAAAAACAAAACTGTATTAACTGAAATAAACAAAAAGCAACAACAAACTGTCTTAATTTTTATACCCCCCCCCCCAAAAAAAAACTCCAGACCAGTTTAGAAAGTGACACAGCAAATTTTTTCACTTACATGAAATCAAAAGATCTCAAATGCATCAGTACATTGGCATCCATTTTGGTCACCTTAATATTACCAAGCTTTCCCTCTCCTTCTTCAAGAATGTCATCACCCTCTTCTTTTTCCTTACTGTCCACCACCACTTTCAATTTGTTTAAATGGCAGTTTTCCTGAATCAAGGTCACAGAGTTTTCATTCAAGTCATTAATGGTAACCTTGACTGCATTTCCAAGATGTTTTGCCCATTGTAATCCCATTATCCCTTAGGAGAAATGGGAAAAAAATATGTTTTTAAATTGTAACAATTAAAAAAAAAAGTTGTATAACAATAATATAGAATTTAATTCTATAGTTTCAAAATTTTAGTATTTTCATAAGTAATTCTTTTTCTACTTTCTCACTACAAAGCCTCTGAAGAAAAGTTATCAAACAAAAAAAGTGTTACAGATTTTCATTAGTATTTCTTACAAAACTTTTCTATGATCCCAGTTCAAATAAATATCTAATTAGGAACAAGAACACACATGAAAGATTAAATCTCACTGGAAAAGTAATTATGTAGTAAAGGAAACTCATTACTTAAAAGGCTAGTATGAAGGTTAAAAGACAAAGGTAGTAAAAATAACTATGATTATAATAATTAGTTAAGGGATATATCTGATGAAAATGTAAAATGTGAGATCAAAAACAAAAAGTGGACTGAGGGACAGTAATAATGTTGCATTTTCTAATGGGATCAAACTTAAGTTGCTATCAACTTAAAACAGGTTGTTACAGATAAAGCTTTATGGTAACCACAAAGCAAAAACTTATAGTAAATACACGGAAGATAAAGAAAAAGGAATATAAACATGCCACTAAACAAAGTCATCAGACCACAAAGGAAGAGAATAAGATGGTGAAAGGAATAAAGATGAACTACAAAAACAACTGGAAAACAACAAAATGGCAATAAGCAATGCCTATCAATAATTTATGAGGCCAGCAATACCCCCATACCAAAATCAGGTACAGTATGCCACAAGAAAAGAAAATTACAGGCCAATATTCCTGATGAACATATTGCAAAATATTAGCCAACTAAATTCAACAATACATTAAAAGGATCAAACATCATGATCAAGTGAGATTTATTCCAGTGATACAAGGCTGGTTCAACATCCAAAATTCAGGCAATATGATTCACATTAACAGATGAAGGATAAAAATCATGAGTATGTTAATAGATGCAGAAAAGGCATTTGACAAAATTCAACATTGATTTATGATAAAATTCTCAAAAAAGCAAGGATAAAGGGAATGTACCTCAAAGGCCATGTATAAGCCCACAGTTAACATCATACTTATGGTGAAAAGTTGAAAGTTTTTCCCCTAAGATCAGGAACAAGACAAGGATTGCCACTCAAGTAATTATCTCAGACACATACACAATAGGTATATAGATTGATGATTAGGAGACATATTAACTGAAATATAGTCTTTGGATTTTGATTTGATAAAAAAATAAAAGATAGTTGGGCATATCTAAACATTTAAAGAATTCTTAATTTTTTTAAGGTGTGATAAAGGTATGGCTGTATTTTTTTAAAGTCCTTATCTTTTACAGATCTAACAAATGTTTACAGATGAAATGAGATATTTATAATTTGTTTCAAAATGGGATGGAGGATGGGGACATGAGGTCTGAGATAAGTGCATGGTATAGTTACAAGACTGAGCGTGAGTTGATAATTCGTGAAGTAAGTGATGGATACAATGGAATTCATTTGTTATATCCTCCACTTTTTTATATATTAGAAATTTTTCACAATAAAAAATTTTTACCTTGGATCTTCAATTTTTTATTATTTTTTATTTTGTTATCATTTTTAAATCTTTACCCGAGGATATTTTTCCATTGATTTTTAAAGAGAGTGGAAGAGAGAGGGAAAGACAGAAATATCGATGTGACAGAGATCAGGGCTCAGGCCGAGGTGTAGCCTGTAATCAAACCGAGATACGTGCCATCGTCCAGAATCAAACCTGGGACCCTTCGAACCACACTCTATCCACTGCTAGGGCAATCTTCAATTTTTTATATCAAAATATTCTATGGTAATCACATACATTTTCTAAGAAAAGATAGTGTACAAATCTAATTAAGCTGGATTCCAAAACAGCTTCATTACTAACCAGTGGCTCCAAAGGCATCCAGACATTCCAAAGGTTTTCGCTCCTCAGCCAGAGCAGCCAAAGTACAGAATATTAGCTGCCTAAAAGAAAGTATAATAATCTGAAATGACTTTACCATGGCTTCACCATTATAGCTTTTATTTTATTTAATAATAGTGGTGGCATTCCTATTTGGAAAAAAAAAAAAGGCCTAATAACATATTCCCTACTTAATAGTATGAGAACTAGAAGCTTGAGAAATTAAACTATGAATCAATTGGGTTCTATTAGCAAACATTCACTATGAAAAAAATGATTTTATAAGCAAATTTTATAAATAAAAGTTTTATAAACAAAATTTTCCCACAAAAACACTGTTCATTAATTCTATAAAGTTAGGTCTACTTTACTCTCTGAGAAAGAAATTGGTCTGGCCAAAAAAAAAAAAAAAAAGAGAGAGAGAAATGCTAAGATAGATGATTTTCATTCTGTACCTAGTTTTAAATTTCAACACATTAGACCAGCGATTTTCAACTGTTTTCATCTCATGGCACACATATATTATTTATTAAAATTCTGTAGGCAACCAAAAAGTATCTTGCTGATCAGACAAAAATAAAAGTGTCATTTTGATTCATTCACACTGGATGGCTATTATTGTGAAGGCTGTTGTCATTTTTTTATTTGACAATCTAAGGGAAAAGAGGTCAGTGTCCCTGACTAAACAGGTACTGCATGTTTTTAAAATTCTTGTGGCACATCAGTGTGCTTCTTGCGGCATACTAGATGAAAATCGCTGCATTGGAACATAAAGATTAACAGACGGTATATTTGTAATGATTTGAAACATCCCATACACTTTTCACAATTTAGCTTACCGATTTAGTTTCATTTTGGGATTAAAATAGGAATCTGTTTTCTGTGGTACAGAATAATTAGGACAAACTTGTACATCTGTGTCTACCTCTTTCAAAATTTCAGTAGGTGGTTTAGCAGCGGAAGCTAAGATAAAAAAAAGATTTCAAGTTAAATACAAAATATTATTAAATATCTAAAACAATATACACTTAAAAAGTAACTTTCCTTTATAATAATGTGTTAATGTAATTAGTTGTGTTAAAAACTGATCTACTCAGCACTGTCTCTGGAAAAAAGTATTTACTGAATTAAAATTTATTAATTCAAAATCGTAACTGCCTACTCTATCAATAATGATACCTAGTTAAGAGCAATCAACCTAAAAACAAACAAAAAAAAGCAAAAGAAAGAACAATCAACCTAAGATAGCACTGAATCCTAAAATACCTTTATTCCTCATCAAATACTATATTACATTTACATGGGTTGGCTGCTCAAGATGTTATTGTGGGATAATTGTTAGAAAAGTGGTATCTTTATATGATTACATTCATTAGCCAGCATGAGAAAGAATCATTGTATTTCCTGAACATGCTAGATTTCAGAACACTTTCTCATAATTATGATTTAAATCACAAATTACATTAAAACAGATATAAAGTAAAGGAAAAAATTCCTACATTTGCTATACATTTGAATAATTTAGCTATAAACCCAAATGAAAAGCTGATGTATTTAAGTATGTTTTGCATATTTAAGAAATGAGAACATATAATATGTGTGGGGGGAAATAACAGACTATATTTGGATTTCTTGATTATATTACAATCAGAATGTTAACTAAATAGCAACCATACTTCTCTTTTTACAATGCCAAGTAACAGCACCCTCTCCCAGCGTTGTTATACATCTTCTCTACCCACCAAAGTGGCATCATGTACCTCACAAGGTCAGCCTTTCTTAAACCAGAGTCAGTGAGAAAATTAAGCGCTACGGAAAATTATTTTAGTGGCTTTTCTCAATTCTTAAAAGAAAGGTACATAATACCATTCTAGATGTATAGACATTACTTCTTTACATACAGTGGATGCCTTAGGACAGTGGTCGGCAAACTCATTAGTCAACAGAGCCAAATATCAACAGAACAACGATTGAAATTTCTTTTGAGAGCCAAATTTTTTAAACTTAAACTATATAGGTAGGTACTTTGTTATTAACTTAATTAGGGTACTCCTAAGGCTTAGGAAGAGCCACACTCAAGGGGCTGAAGAGCCGCATGTGGCTCTCGAGCTGCAGTTTGCCGACCACGGCCTAAGGACAATGAGGACTTAATTCTTGAGAAGGGCTGCCTCAGTAATAATAACTACTAATAACTTGATACCACTCAGGATAGTAAGCGGTCGTTATGTCATTTTACATACTTTTTCTAGTGTGTTTTGATAAGTATAACACAATTACTGGTGCAGGAACCGTCATTAGTAATAGAGTCCTATAATCTTTCATTAAGATACCTGTATTTACTTGAGCATCGGTTGCTTTTTCTACCCACTTGTGAAATATATGGTAACTGAGGACAGAAAAACATTGTTGGGAGGCTCACAGAAAAAGGAAATCTGAAGTAAGGGTGTAGTAGTCAGCTCAGTGATTTAGTTAAGTCACTATCATCTCATCGATGTCTAAAAAGAATAATTGGACCACTGTTTAAGGATTTACTTACTAACATGTTAATAAGATTGCTCAACTTACCAGCAATATACCTGGATTTAGTCTCTCCTTTATTCACATGGCGCCTAACATGTCCTAGCATATCAGTCCTTCTGGTGATTGTTGCTGAACAAATGATACAATGATAATGGGCGCCCATTTTACTGGATATCTAGCAAACAGAGTATTTAATTTAATACATAAATAAGTTACTAAGACAATGAAATAGAACTTTATTCAAGAATGTAAATTTACGTATGTGTCTTGGGTTTAATGGTATAGAAGACAGTATTAATTTTGCCATGTGACATATACTTTTTAATTTAATTTTACAATAGGCTACAACTTTAATTTCTAAGATTTTCCCATTCATTCTAATCAACAAATAACTGTATCCTCTTTTCTATAAGCAGCACTTACAGATGATATAATACTAGTAGCAGTGTGCTGGTAGACGTTTAAATGTCTCACCAGGAAAATAAAGTTCTGATTCATAGAGTTTTCAGCTTTCTGTAGTATAAATACTCTACAATATCAAGAAAATCTATTCTTTAATTTCAAGCTACAATTGTGACAAATTTCAAGTTACCAATGTGACATCACTGAACATGTATTTGGGAAAAGACAGCATTGCCACCATGTAGATATTATATAAATAACTGTAAGAGCATAGATAAAAGAAACATGCAGCTGAAACCGGTTTGGCTCAGTGGATAGAGCGTTGGCCTGCCGACTAAAAGAAACATGCAGTAAAATAATTAGGAAGTAGTGAGCTTTGAGTATTCATTACCTTTGTTTTTAATATAATTTATTCACTTTTAAGTTCATATAATTTAATTTTTTTACATATGTTTTTATTTACTTCAGAGAGAAAGGGAAAGGGAGAGGGAGAGGGAGAGAGAGATAGAAACATCAATGATGAGAGAGAATCATTAATCAGTTGCCTCCTGCACGTCCTCTACTGGAGATCGTGCCCTTAACCAGAATCTAACCCTAGACCCTCCAGCCCGCAGGCTGACGCTCTATCCACTGAGCCAAACCGCGTAGGGCTAATTTAATTTTTAATGATGACCACATTTAGTGACCAGCTTTCAAACTTTCTGAAAATTAATGAAACATCTATTTTTCCAAGTAAAAAATTCTCACTTTATAATTTCTCACTTGGCTGAGGACCAAAAAACTACTCCAATGGCACTCCTACTTTTTCTGTGTCTACCTCCCATTTACTTGGAATCATATAGCAAGTCGAGAATATTCAAGAACATTGCAAAAGATTCCTTGGTACTGTGGTTATCATATTCAAAATATCTTGGATAAGGTTCATGGACAAGCATTGTCCTGACTACTGCTTAAGAAATGATTTTTTGTAATACTTTCAACAATAAGAATAATAAAAAACAACAACAAAAAGAAATGTTATTTTTTCTCCAGCACTTTACTCTTTTTAGTGATCCAAAAGAAAAATTAATAATAAGCTAATATGTATTCAGGATAGAATCACCAAAAATACTTTATAATTCTTATTCCCCAAAGGTCAAATCTATTCTAAAAATGAACATATGTACTTTTTAAAAAAAGTTATCAAAGATTTCAGGAAGTTTCTTATTCTGTCCTTTGGCAGATTAGTGGAAGCACACAGGAAGGATGATAAGAATGAATCAATGCCTTTATTAAACCACAGAAATTGAAGGCTCTTTGTCTATAATCAAGATTTATTTTAAAAGAAAGAAATTATTTAATTCTCCATTCTAAAATTAGTAAATAATTTTCCTTTTGAACACAAGACAGCAATATATCTGACTGAAATTAAAACTATAAAAATTTCAATACAGCAACCCTTTTGTTCATGCATTTTATATTTTTCCCAATATGATGATCTAAAAACATTCAGATACAAAATCTTAAAGTTAACCTCATTGCTGAATATAAACATTTTAGTATTGAAGCAAGTAAAAATTGCACATTCTTTAAAGAGGGCTACATTTCAAAATAAATCTAACATCTGATTACCTGTTCTCCAATAATATTTGGTTTCACTGGTCGACAAGGTAAGTGGCAGATGCACATTCTGTAACCTAGAATGAAGGATGGATGGTTGTCATATCACAGTTCATTAAATATTCAATTTTCACAAAATTATTGGCAAATTTTATAAGAATAACAGATTATTTTGTATTTGTAATATCATTTATTCATTTACTTAATGAGGTAGCCTTAGTTTATTTGTTATATGTGGTACAGCATAAAAACAAATATGGGTGATCCGAGTGCGAATTCTGATTCTGCCAAGACGATGTGTGTTATCTTGGATTAGCCACTTAGCCTCCTTAGAACTGAATTCTGTCACCTATTCTCTGCCACTTGACTTTTTTAAGGCTTCATCTCTCTGCCTTATGCTAATTTGCGCTACACAGACTTCATTTATGACACTGTCCAAAATGCGGATCCCCAGGGCTATGCAGAGTACATAGTACAGAACAGATGCTTCATAAATGTTTGCCAAACAAAACTACTTGTGTTATAAATTGCTATTGCCTAGAGAGCAACATGATCTTTTACTAATAAACACATTAAAAGAAGGGTCTGAATCCCTCAAATTTTTAAACTTAAAACATTTGATTAAATTCACTACAAAATTCCCAAACTGGTATCAAATCTTGAATTTCATTTACATCACTTTTTAGTAAGCACAAAAATACTAACCTTCAAATTCAACTGACACTTTCCAATGTAAATTCTGAAGGTGCCGACGAAGCTTATGGCTATTACAAGCTCTAAATTTTTCCTTAGGACATAATGGACAAGCCTGTTTATTTCCTGATAAAGAAAAAAGAACCGATAAGGCACAGAATATACTACCAATTAATGCTTCAATTCAGTTACAAAAGAAGTAACCGAGGACCCCAGTCCCACCCCACTTCTTACACAATGTCTTTCTTCAGTAAGACATCGCCCCTGTATCAGGGGGTAGTTAACAAAAATTATTTTAGCACAGGGTGATTTTTACCCTAAAACTCCCCTCTCTGTGACTAGCTGCTATCCTTACTGCTACTGAGAACAAAATGGATGAAGAATGATAATCTATATATCCTTCCGGCCAAAGTGCCTGGCATAGTCACTCTGCACTTTGCCCAGGGGAAAAGGCAGATTGTCACTCTCCCAGAGGGCCAGGAGCTGGGTAGAGAGAATAAGTAGCTGCTGTGGCATTCTTCTACTCTGGCAGCAACAAAAACAGTTAACATGTGGAGTTAGAAAAATGGAAGAAGAAACTCAAAGTAGTAGGAGGAATTTAATATGATTGGTATTCTGAGACTGGAGGCCATGATTAGAAGCACTGTATCCTACTATTGAATTTGTGAGGTCTTCCTTCTTTATTAGTATGTCCTTGAAAAGATTTTGGATCATCAAAATAAAAGTCTTATTTAATTAGAAATGTATCTCAAATAAAAAATTGATAGTGTACCAAAGAATTAAAACCTGAATTAAAGTTCAGACTTAAAGCAATAAAAATATACAGAAACAATCAATAACCTACTTAATAAATTTTAATCCAACAAGTACCTTTCACGTATAGCACACTGCAAGTATAGACACTATTTTTTATAATACTGGGCCTACTTCAAAAAACCATGAGGTGATCTTAAGGATGGAATCCAAGCACTAAGGATGGCAAATCAGAAAGAGAGGAGCTTAGGGCATTGACAGTACCGTGGACTCTTGTACCAGCCCTGGATTGCTTATCTTGGTACTTATTTTACATGAGAGAATATAAGCCTCCATATTTTTTAAGGCAATGTTTTTTTTGTTTTGTTTTTTTGTTACTCCTAGCCAAATGCAATAGAAACACACATAGAATACACACACCCTTCATGTACTGGTAGGATCCCTAGCAGCTGGGTACTCCCTCCCTTTCCTTGGCTGGCCCCGCCCCCTGGTCGAACTCCCAGAGGAACTCCTGGTCCAGGGGACAATTTGCATACTATGCTTTTATTATATAGGATTATATAGGATGAGACTGTAATTTCCCTGAGTTGTGAAATAACTGATTCCACCGAACCTTTGCATAGAGATGACTATCAGTTTCCTGCATAAAAATATTTACTACTCCTCTAGTTCAACAGAATATACAAGTCTATTTCTAGCAAATTTTTCATGCTAGATAACAAACCATTAGAAATTAAGAAAACACACACACAGAGACAAACATGGAAATACCTGCATCAAGATGATCTGAGTTCACTGAACTAGCAGAGTCAAAATCCCCTTCAGTTACAAAAGCTAACTTCTCTAGATCAGCAAGCTGCCTCTGAATTGAGATGTGTCTTTCTGAAAGAAAATTTAAAAATTAGAAAATTACGCTTTAACAATCTATATTCCAGATCCATTATTAATTAATTACTTCACCTTGAGTCTGACAGTTTTATTTCCTATAGCATAATGCCCTAATACCTAGATGGAGAATACTGCTGGGACTGTTTATAAATGACAAGTGTGCCTCAGAATGCAAACAGGAGATAAAACTACATTTATGCGACCTGACAGCTTTAAAATTTACTTACTTATTCAATATAATTCTTTAAAAATGTTTCTATTCTGTACAAAATACTGAAGAAACTTAAGCCATGTTTCCTATCTTCAAAGAACTTTCAATCAGGTAGGAGAGATTAACTACTAACTGTAACACAAGGCAGAATGAAAGAATACTTGGGGTGAATATAATGTGGACATACTGAGTAAGGGGCAATTAATTCCAACAAGAGCCTCTGAGAAGGTCTTTACTGAAGAAACGCATTAAGGTATGAATAGAATTCAGTAAGATTTGGTGGCTGACCTTATAAACTTAAGTAATCTCATGAACAAAGGAATGTGGTATAAAAAATACAGCCACTACATAAGACACTGGGGGATAGGGGAGGCTAGGGGACTGTCTTGGGAGGGGGGAAAAAATGGACACATATGTAATACCCTTTGTAATAAAAAAAATAAAAAATACAGCCACTTCTATCCCACACCTGGCTAGATGGAGTTGGTAGAAAAATATGCAGCCTCAATGTGGTACAGATATGCAAGTTGGTTTGACCTTTTTTCTTTAGGCAATGCTAAGTCTTTGCAGGTTTTTGAGAAAGTGACTATGATGTGACTGTGTTTCAGGAGGGTATCTCTGGCTACAGTGCCAAGGATCAATAATTGAGGTGAGAAACAGATAGGTACAGGAGACTAGAAGGTAAAACCAAAGGAAGAAAAGAAGCCAAGAACTTAGGATGTGGGTGTAAAGTGAGACTGAAGAGTAAATTCAAGAATGGATCTAAGATTTCAAGTTTACATGGTTGAGAATGATGGTACCATTAACCAATAAAGGAAGAAGAAAATACTTCTGGCAGAAAGGAAGAGGAAAGGAAAAAAGGGAATTTCGTTATTGACATAGTGTGTTTGATATTCTACTGGTATTCATGTAGTAAAGTCCAGTAGGCAGTTTTGCTTTGGGAGTTCGGGAGTTCAGGAGGGATTCTGAATGGATATAAATAATAAATTCATATGTTAGGTGAAACTATGAACACGAGGAAGAAAGCCTAAGGGGGGAAAAATGTGAAAAAGAGAAGAAAAAAGTCAAAACCCAGTCCCAGAAACACACCTTCAGGTTTCTCAGATACGAAACATCCTTCAAATTACATACTTCTAAATTTTGGAAGAGAACGTTTACAAAGTGGGGGCCTGAATATACAAGACTAGGAGGTGATAACTTTTAGGGACAGATCCCCAGTGAGATCAGAGATGATGGGATAAGCCATAGGCTCTCTAACAGTCATTATATAATTAGGTTATATAATTTAGAACCATCAGCCTTTTAAATGTTATTCTTGACACTGCTACTGTTCTGCCTAATTCCTCTCTGAGCTTCACTCCCAGCTCCTTTGTCTAATTCGTGGCCTTGTCTGTCTTCCCCCATCAATAAGCAGTAAGAAGGCAGGGGCTAGGTCTTATTCATCTGTGTAATGGCTAAGTGCCTAGTGCAGTAACTTGCACACAGCAGGCACTGACGTTTGTTAAATAACTTTTAAACATCACTAGTCTTTTTGGATGCAGCAGGACATTCTATAATTTTGGAATTTAATACAGTATTATCAGCCATTCCTTCTCAAATTTATTAAAATACAAATTTTTTACCTGACTTTTAAATGAGAAAAATTTGTTATCATAAAGGCTTTTGGCTTCCATGGTTCAAAGGTCTGTATATATGAAGCAAGATATAGATATAGATATCTATGTAAAAATGTGCTTTTTGAAATCATCCTAACTACTAAAAAGTACAAAATAAAAGGAAGGGGCCTGGTAAGTTAGAAGAGAAAATGGAAAATCCTGTGGTCCACTACTGAAGAAAACTCCCAAAGGCCTGTCTAAATAAAGATTCATGATATGCCTATGTACACCTCTGAAATCACTTTGTGGTTCAAGACAGTAGATATCAGGCAATCTGCACTTAAATCTACTCAACCTTTCTGGAACACACTAATAATCCAGAAGTCAAGAGAAAAACCCCTTATTAAATCAGATGCTAGAAGGCTTTGTTTACAACTTCTTCTGTTACTTCTTCCTCAATTTTCAGATCTATTTCAGAGGTGCCATCTTCATCTTGTCTATGTAAGACAGAATCTAAGGACTACCAGGGGTGGGCAAACTTTTTGACTCGAGGGCCACAATGGGTTCTTAAACTGGACCGGAGGGCCGGAACAAAAGCATGGATGGAGTGTTTGTATGAACTAATATAAATTCAAAGTAAACATCATTACATAAAAGGGAATGGTCTTTTTTTTTTATTTATTCATTTCAAACGGGCCGGATCCGGCCCGCGGCCGTAGTTTGCCCACGGCTGAAATAGACCATCAAGAGATAATTTTTAAAATGCGATTAATATATATTTCGAATGCATTTCCAATTTCTCAGTTGTTACCTATGTGTCCCAGGTTTCTCAAAGATTGCATTCTTTTAATTACATACTTGTAAACTTTAAAACACATGAATAAATTTTCCCAAAGTGCTTAACATATTCTTGATGAGGAGTTAGAGAAAGCATGCAGTCCCTAAAGCTGCTACACCACACCCGATGAGGGAGATTACTCAGTGAACCCCCTCTACCTTCTACCCTCCACCATTGTACAACTGGCCTTATTTTGCACCTACCTAGCTCTGACCTTAAGATGAGGAGGGCCCTACCTTTGTCCTCTATGGCCCAATAAATCACCACTTAGAAAACATGCAAGCACATTCAGAAGCACTAACAATAATATGGGCTATACTTTTCAACAGTTGACTTCTGACCTAATGAAATACAAAACTCCATTGGTATTTATGTCCGAGGGAAGACATAAATCCATAATTTAGTAGACTATTCAACCACTCGTCACCCTCAAATTCTTTTTGGAAGCAAACTGCTGTAGAAAATGAAATGAGAAAAACTCATTTTGTGTGTGTATGTCCGGACATAAAACCTAGTTGAGAGCAATGGTTTCTAAATGTTGACAGCTAGGATCTGCTACAGTAAACACGGTTCGCCTCGGTTACTATGTTACATTTTCAAAGGACCCCGTGACGGAAGCTTCAGAGAAACTACCAGATCAGGTGGAACTTCCTATTTTTGCACCAGAAAAAGACCCCCTTTAACGAAGAAGCCCTCAAGCTCATTTTGCAGCACCCCTGGCCCCCACATAACCTTCATCGCAACGTCCTCGAGGCTGGTGGACATGCCTTCTCCATTCGGTGCCCGTTTGCCGCGCAGCGCGGGTCCCTCCTCCTTCCCCATCGCCCTACCCCTTCCTTTCCCATGAAAGCCACCCCAGTGAAGAAGGGCCTCCCCCGCAAGACGCACTTTCTCGCTTCTCCTGCAGCAGAAAGACCTGGGCCTCCTGCACTTACTGCTTTCAGCTTCGTCAGGGGCAGAGGCTGGGGACGGGGACAGGGCCGGGGCCGGGGCCGGAGGCAGGGGAGGCTGGGGGTG